CTTCTCTGGCAACCGGACTTTGTTCACTGCGACGACAACCAGACATGTGCAATAAACGACGGTGGCACAATCGGGAAACGACGCGTCAGGTCGACGATTCCCCCTTAAGTGGTGAATATGCACACGTGACTCGAAGTGAATGTTTCCAGCTCGTAGCGTCCAATCAAGTCTTCACAAAACGTGTGCCAAATATGTCCGCGGAGAGAAATTATAAGTTAACGAGGCGCAAGACGTTCGCTCTGTTCATTGGCTATTAACCTCTGATTACTAACTTAGAGTCGTTCGATTTAATGGGGATTTTTTTTGAAGAATTCAGACGGAGACAACACCTTGTTTTTCGAATCATCTGGCTTTAAGCCGTTCTTCAGGTTCTTAGGGCAAACAGGCTTAAATTAAGGTCTTGGAACGACCTCAAGATCGCTTCAATGGCATAGTTACAATTACGGTATTATCTGAGTTTTTTAATTCGTCCATTTTCTCATTCAAGGTTTAAACCCAGTTACAGCAGACACTCGCAAAACATATTTTTTGTTGTTCACTAAAGCGTTTCGTTACAGACAACCAGCAACGTTTTCAGTTCTATGAACAATAAAAAGCAACATTCAAAAGGTAGCGATTTGCTTCGATTGGGATGGGCGGAGTCTAATTTGATAGGTCCCCAAATATTGTCATTAGTTTTTCGATTCCTCTTGCTATTTCAGACTGTGGATCAGAATTGGCTGACGAATTGGACTCAATCCTTTACTCAGTCGTTAAGTAAACGTTTAGCTGAATGGCAAGCGTGGCAAACAGGTAGATTTGAACTCGTTGAAACGTGCCGCGTTCGAATCCGCTGAGGTAAAACCTTCGTCTTCCCCAAAAATTCTCTTGAAAAAGGAACTAGCCCCATGGCAACAAATAGAAAAATGCTTTGTTCTCATGTGGTCATTCCAGAACGAACGAGGTGTACGGCCATACAGTCCAATGCCAGTGTCCCCATGGCTGCATTTCACGTTGACCCATATGATAGCTGATTATCCCGTGTAATAATCAGCACAACATGTAGCCGTGGTTTCGAATTCGAAACGAAGAAATAATTGATTCGTTTAATTCAACAGGGGTCTAGAATTCGGAACAGCGTTAAACTTCTATTCATTTGAATTTATAGTATCAGGTTAACACGGTTTAAGCTACCCACCTCCTTATTTCTAGTCTCATAGGGGGACCATTTAAACAGGCTTCGATGCCATGGTATTTCAGCTCTTCCAGTGCGTTGGATGCAGGGCCATATCACGAAGTGGGTTCAACAAACAAGGAGCAATGGTTTGCTGCAATGGTCCCACTAGACGACTAGAAGCAGTGGGACGCCCATGCCGTGTCAGCCCGATATTAGAAATCGATCATGATTACCGACGGAAATGGAAAGCCACAGTGTGGCAACTACCTCAGAACATAGAGACAAGTCTCTGTCTATATATTTTCCCACGGATAGTTGCAGATTTAATTGATGGTCGAATGCGCCATAGTTGCACCTAACTCAATGATCTGGTATTGCATCTAATGTACTGCAAGTGTCCATTGTCCCCGTAACCGGCTAGAAGCAAAGGAGTAGTACGTTTACTCTGAATAAATCTGGCACAACAAATTGACATGTAATGATCACCAAAGAAATTCAAAGCTATTATGCAATCATTATCCGTAAATTTATCACTTAAGGGTTCCACCTCTGACAAGCGAATGGCCTCATCTTCCGCTTAGCACAGTGATGACCATGTGGTAGCTTTTGGTGACACCGAAGTCAAGCAGTCTTGGCTGTTTAAGTGCTATTAGCAATGAATTTTCTTCTCCGTTTTTGGAGACAATTTACCGTAAACTATCAGGATCTTGCTTTGAATCACTGTAAGAGCTGTTGCTTCGATTAAGAGGAGGCAATGTGAATAAATTTTATATCGCATTTTTTTCGAGGACAAACTAGGACGGTGACCACCGGCCCTTCTATTTGGTTTAAGCATTGGAGTGTCGTTCTCCTGAATGGAACCACCTGAACACGCAAAGTAACCTCTTTTGCAACATCCCTCTTGTTGTTGAACCATTTTAATATTTATGAAAGACTGCCAAAGTGATAACCTACCTTTATCTTGTCACGAATATGCAGTCATGCGTTTCATCCAATTATGCAATTTCACATGATAATCGTTTTTGCTTTCCGTGTCAAGCCGCGATTGTTTGCCACAGATACGGTATTGGAAATCCATTGGTTTCATGGCTGCACCACGTTTTCTATGGTTCAGGGGACCTTCGCAATTTGACACTTGTGAACTCGGTCTTTCACTCTTCCAGAAGCTTCTACTTCGAAGGTTTATTCGTTAGTAAATGAACATTTTCTCTTTCTCAAAGAGATGCTCGTTAAGCGCTTTAAACCCTAATCTCTTGAGGTCTAAATTACTAATTCCGTAAGACTTATTACTACTGCAGAGTGGATTTTTAGAGAGGAAGTAATAATAGAAAACTTTTCAGAATTCATTTAAGTTATACAGGATAGTGGCATATATGGCTTTGTAGAAGCAATATTAGTTGAATCTACCGAACTCACTAATATCGTAAAATTGACGCTGTCTATTGAACCTGTAGATGTTGAATGCCGTGCACCACCAACGCTGAATACCAGGAAGTTCTCCGTCAGCTCTCGACTGCTGCTGTCTCATCAGCTAATCATCGTGACAGATTGAACCGATGTAAAGGCCCATTTTTGGAAAACCAATATTTGCCAGTTTGCGCAGATCCAACCCATTGCGAAGGGGGTGTGACTGTCAGATCATAGGACCGTATGAGGGGGACGATGCACCACGAAATTTAAACTGTTGAGTCAGTATGCCAGCCGTGATTGCCCATCATTAAATCTATACAGCCGGCGGACGGGGCTGTCGTATTGGGACTGACAGGTCCTCTTTGTGCTTTTTGAAACTGTCATAGTACAAAATTGAGGAGGATTTGGGCTATTTGGGCCGTATCAATGTGCATCGAAGGCATAGTGAGATTTTTCAGCAGAAAGAACTATTTTTTGGACAGGAAATGTTCGATGACTCATAATGAGAAGAGCAGAAACTCTGAAGAGTGTGCGCATCATCTTCAGTTCTTCTTAACGCCTGGGGCTGTTGGCCATAACTATGACTGGGTACTTTTTACCGCTTCCACCTGGTAAGTGCTTTTAAAAAACTGTGTATCTGATCGAAGTATGTCTTCATATGTTCAGTGTTAGCCTTCAGACCAGAAACGTTTGTATCCGGTTTCCCAATAATGAATATAATGAGCCAATAATTTTATGCCATTGCTCATGGTTCCCTAAGCCGAAGGGTTTCTCGGAGACACGGACAATAGCGCGCCATAACCTAGTCGGAGACAACGTTTATTTCCTTGTTCAAGTGATATCGATGAATTTTTGAGACACTGAGAGACCACCTTGCTAAGCGACGCTGAGGTAACATTCGTCGGCTTTCAATAATAGGGTAGTTGCCCCGAGGCCGCAAGAAGAATCGGGAGGATCGAAGACACAGTGATTATGTCTTTTGACAGAAATTTCGCCAGTTTCCCTAAGCCACCGCCTAAGGAGCAATGCTCCTGATGC